AACTAGTTAGAGTAAAAATGAATAGGTACGTTATAAATTTATAAGTAAATTTAGGCATATCTAATCATTTGAATTTAGATCAGATATAAAATAGTTGTAAATAATATTTACTTAAACCATATTTCAAAAATGAATTGCTAGCTATATTATGTAGGAATACAAACAATAGTAGGTATGTTAAAATTCAAAATAAAATAAAATCTTTTAAAGAATTTAATAGAAGTAATATTAAAAAAATTTAAATATCTTATAAAAATAGCAAAATTATTATGAATCATAAAAAATACAAACATGAACTGATGATAAGTTAATTATTAATTAGGTATGCTAATAACTTGTAGTGTATAACTTTCTACTACCAATTACCATTGAGTACAGTATTATAGAATATACATTGATATCGACTAGTGCAATTGCCAAACTATGTTTAAATTTATAACATTTTCCTATGATTAATCAATAAAAAACCTATATATTGTTATGTTTATAGATAATCTAATACCAAGTAAAAACACCTAAATATTTATAATTTTGCAGGTACCTAATTAATTGATTTAGGTATTTAATACACTTTTTTAAAGCTTATGTGTATGATAAGTTATTGCTAGTTCAATTATTATAAAACAGTTTTAATTTAAAAAATAAATATTATAAAATTCAATAGGTATTATTATTTCATATTCAAAATATAAATAAGTAAATGGATGTAGAAAGCACAAATTGTTTTACCCAAATTTGAGTCAGCTCATAATAATTTGTATTGAAATGTTTTTAGTTAGGTACAAACTTATTWTTTTTTTTGGTAAATGTTTTACTTAATACGACCTAGTATCTTACTTTATTAGTGTAATATCAATAGTAGGCACCTATTCAAACTGTATTAAAAAAGAAATTACCATTACACAAACTGAACATTGAAATAATCTACTATGTAACTATCTCTCATTTTTAATTTTTAATCTTTAGACAAGGCAATAGTTATACCAAGTAAAAATGATTTAGAAAAAATAAGCTTGTTCAATACAAAAAAAAATACAAGATTAGAAATTGGTAAATAAAATAGTTGACATTTTGCTTAAGAAAATAAATTTTCATTATTTTTATACAGTTTTAATGACAACATAAAAACATATTAATTATTAATAGGCTACCTAATGATATACCTACATAATATTAAAGTAAAAAAAAACAAATTAGTCACTGCTTACATACTAACCTAGTCCTGGTTTAGGAAATTAGGATTTTTTTTTTACTGTAAGTAAATATTCTTAAAATATATCTGGTGCTCACAAAAAATGTCACAGTACGCACTTGACTGGATTGTATTTAAATCAAAATAATAAGTACCAAATACACACTATTTTTCAGATATAGAAACAACAAAATAGTAGTAAGTTATGGTATTTTCAAATGAATTTAATCACTTCTTATTGTTAGGTATGGGCATGTATATCTAGTTTTTTAATTTTGGCCTTTTCTTTAGTCACTACTAATCTACCTATCTATAAAATAGGCGATTATTCAATTGATATAAGCTACTAAGGTATTTTGTTCACTGATCATAATACACATTCCACAATCAGTGCCAGGCATAAAATGTCACAGCGTCAAATAGAAACCGGACCTTAGCCAAACCTTACAGATTCTTCACTTATAATATAGGTACTTCTGATATTTTCGTATTTTTCAAATATCTGATACAACTGTCCAGGGTGGTATTTCAATAAACCTCGGCTGGGCATGGTAAGCATACTCTTTACACTGTACACATGGATGGTTTTAAAGAAGGTATCCGGACACGAGTGGACGGCCGGCCAGCCAGCCATCGGGGGCAGATAAATCGGGGTCCCCTCATGACGATTCGTCACCGTGGCCGTCGGCGGCGGCAGTGGTCATTCTAAGTTCCGGGCCGGTACACGGTGGCCGCCGTCGTCAGATCGTCGACGGGTGGCCGAAATGGCATTTCAGTCGAGTGCGCGCGTCTGGCCGTCGGCCGCGGCGCGCGCACACGACACGCGCTACCACGGTGTAGTAGGTACTTACTAAAATTTATGTAATCCCGACGTAGAGGATTGCGCTTCCGGTGTGGTACATCAAGAATGTGTCGGCCCCGAGTATGATTCGCGAGGAGTCGCCCTCGTTGAACTTGGGAACCGGGTAAGCCGTCGACGCGCAAACAAAATGGCTGATACGGTATTCAGTCAAACGACGGCCGTGAAACCGCTGAGCGGCCGCGGGACATTTTATGCGCACTGTCTGTGGGGCCACACGGTGGCGGTGGTCGTCTTCGGTGCGGTGCGGTGGTTACGCGACACTCGCGACTCGGACAGTAACAACAAAGACGGACTGCGGAACAACGCGGTCGGTTAATCGAACGTCGCCAACAAACGCCCGGCCTGACAGGAAAAAATAAACGATAGCTGCTGCTAAACGGTAAACAACACCCTTCGGTGAATGGTGATATGTTTTTTTTTTTTATTTTACATTTTCCAGTCCGTACACCTTGGACGTGCTTTGGACACGTTCTTTGTTTGTATTAACGCCCGGTTCCCAGTTACACCGGTAGAGCGCGCGTTCCGCGTTGAACGAGTTCGTTCCCCGCGGGGCGCCGCGTGTTTCGATGGGTTAATCGTGGTGAGCGGTGCGCGGGGTTAAGAGATCACGGTGCGGTGTTGGCGGGCGGGACATTCGGGTCGCCGAGCGTGTCGTCCGCGGATGGTTCGGGAGGGGACGCTCGTCATTCCCTTGTCGTCGTCGTCAGCCCACCCGCCGGCAAATGTGGTCACGGTCCGCGACCACCCGCCGGCCTGCGACCACACGACGACTGTGTCGCGTATATGATATAGGTACAACACATAACAACAACAATACCTGCTATAATAGCAACAACAACACGAGTAGTAATAATAATATCACGCGGGATGGGTACGCAATCAACAATTATTATCTTTCACACGGGTATAACACGTTATGCTTAACATCCTACGTCATAATAKTTATAGTTTAGACATATTTTGACAAATAATTATATAGCATAAAACTCACAATTTTGATTGATATACCTATAATACATATAATACACATATAATAGTACACAGAATAACATTTTGGGAAGGAGGGGGGTAGAAATTATAGAAATACAAATTGTACAGCGACATAATAAAACAATTTCTTTCTCCTTACTCATAATTTATTATTTTACTATTATTATGCTAAATATCAAAATTGTATGAATATCATTTGTTCAAAAATAACTATAGTAAGTTAGTAAGTATATAGGAAAATTACTAATTACTATACCAGGGAAATAATTTCGGGGGTGAAGGGTTGAACCCCAACCCCCTGAAGACGCGCCTGATGAATATTATATTCAAATACTAAGTCGTTGAGTGTAATATTGTTTTCCGTACGAAAAAATAAAAACATTAAAAACATGGCTGATTTTTTAATAAGCTTGTTTATTTATTTAATTATTTACCTAACTAAAATCGGTCGACTGTTATTTGTGAACTCGTATTATCTCTTGAACTTATTTCATAAAAAAAATATGCAATTGCATTATAGTACCATCGATGGCGTTGCATCGTATATTCGTATAGTCATCATTCTGGGGTAGTAACTTCTAAGAACTCGAATATGCGTGATAAACTGATATAATAATATTATATGTCTCTTTGCTTTTAATTACGAGCCGTTTTATATTTATATTGTATGTCGTTTTATCGTTAAAACAGAGGAGTGAGGACAACGGTGCCAATTGGAGCTCCTTAGGACTAAACTTAGGCTATGTCTCAAACAAATCGCTAAAACTTGAGCTTATAATAGACCAATGAAACTGCTATACTTTTTTTTTACAAACGTTTCCTCCATGCAAAACTTATTTACCATCGTGAACTTATTCATACACCAGCTGCTGTTCGTCCTGTTCTGTACACTTTATAATCTTTATACATACTTTCTGAAAACCCACTACKATATGCTCACAAAAAGAACTGATTCCATCACCTGAACTTTGTTGAATCATTTAAAATCATTAGGCTATCTCAATCTTTCATCCATCATAGCACCTTTCATGTAATTTGTTCGTGTCTTTTACACTGCAAATACACGTTATACTTATTGTACGCACTAGACATTTATTCTAAAATAATGATACATTTTAAATATGAAAATAAAAGTTTGTTTTTCAATGCTATATATTGCTATTTAGGAATTTATTCAAGAATTTCATTTTACTCGTTTTATTATTTATATAATATCTAAAACATCTTAATATATCGTGTAACGCTTTATTTTCTAACACAATTCTACAGTTTTCCTAGGTAATCTGGTTATATCATCTACGTATTGTTCAATGTAATTGATGATAAATAGTATAATTTACTGTACAATATAATATACCCAATAGTGAATAGTAAATGGTATGTGTTAGCTTTATAAATATTTCATTTTTACTAAGTTGTAGAGGTGTACTACAATAAAATTATGCCAAATCGGGAATAGAACAACTGCAGTCGTTCATGTATATGAGAAGAATTATATATTGCATATAAGCAGAAATGCACAATGTCATGAGCATGACATTCATATGTATAAGGTTGTTGTTGGTTGGTAGGAAGTTAATACCTATTTTTTTTTTTTATAGTACCTACCTATTTTATTTTACCCATATAATTCACATTTCACTATATACTAGCATTACTAAATAGACAGATTGTATAATCTGTGATACTATATTATCACTGTATGTTAATCGGTATCAAGGTTTATAGATCATACTCAATAATATATTAATATAGCATAATCCATAAACCTTGACTCGGCGCTATCCCAGGATAGATTAAATCTATTTTAATCTATTGATTTATCTAATTTTATAGATTCTGTGGTACTACGACTACTACCACAAAAAAAAAAAAAGGTACTACGCAGTACGCACTACGCAATAAGTTAATACTTTAATAGGCATGTGTCATGGGACTTTGGGACATGGCCATTGGCCACACGAGTAGAAATCTTAAAACATTTCCACTTCCACGGCTTGGTTAGAGTTTTCCAAATTTCACTTGTCTTTTGTTATGGTACCTAAATTTAGAACGTCTTTGATGTTTAATTTTGCCGCCTTTTTTCATTAATGATAATACATAACAGATAAGTTGAAAGCTTAAATAGTTGAATATTTAAAAAAAATATTGTGCAACTTGGCAGTCAACTGATGGAGTAATTTTATATTTTATATTTATTTTTTTATTACTCACTGTTGTATTTAAAAAAATTTAAATATGTATTGTGATAAAGTTATTGAGTTATTAAAGGAGTTGGAACGTTCTCGTGAAGATACTATACCGCCATACAATGTACTTACTTACTATTAATCATTAATAGTTACTCCATACTTTATATTACATTATATATCATATTTTGTTTAATCTAAATTAATATACTAAATTTTATAGACGTATCAKCGTTACAATATTTATATAAATAATAATTTTTGATTTATAGAATGATGGAATCAATCAAGTGCTTTCTGAGATGAAAACTTTAGATACAGAAATTATTGAGTTCTTGTAAGTTAATACTTGATTATTTTTTATTGTGTTTCAATTGATTTAGACAATTTTAAAATTCAGACGCAAACAAAAAGATAACTTGCCATTGGATGCTATTCGTTTACGACGTGCAGCTATAGAAAGAAATAAAAGATGTTTGATGACATATATGTAAAGTTAAATTGTTAATCATTTGTTAAGATTCTCAACAAATAAGTTAAAAGTAAATATATATGTTATAGATGGACTAGACTGCAGCGATTAAAAGAAATGAGATGGGAGATAGGGGCTATTCTACCATCAGATGTAAGACAAAATCTTTCACAATCCGAGGTTTGTTTAAATTCATTATGTATTATGTTATATTTTTAAAAAAAAGATTTTTTTTTTCAGATAGAATGGTTTAATAATTATTGTAAAACTTTGGTCTCGTATATGAAGACCATAGGATCAGATACTGGACTCAATTTAACTCATGACACCAAACCTCCCAAGTCACTTTATACTGAAGTAAATATATAAAAATAATATTCTAAAGATTTTTGATTATAGGTCTTAAGGAATATATGATATACCTGTCGTAGCCACTTTGTGAATCAATCTTTTCRTGAAAAGATGACCATTTCGTGAAATGAAAACTTGTTTTTTACACTTTTTGAAATTCAAAAATATTTTATGAAAAAGTTACTCAAATTTAACATTGTGTAATTTTTTTCACAAACTGGTCGTTCACTATGTGTACTAAAATACAACATTTAACAACTTATTCTACMCCTATAGATTTAACTTAAATAATTATGTATAGTAATAAAGTTTATTTATATCATATTAATTTATTAACCAGGAAAATGAATTGTGACAATGACTGCTACATTTTAGACTACCTTTAAAACAAACACATCTTTTGGTTTGACAAGCACTTTTATAGGAACAACTTAAAAATCCCTGACCTCCAGATACAATTTGGACAGTTTTACGCAAGGTTAATTCTTAATGATCACATTATAGTTCGGTCGCCAATAGTTGATGCCTATACCATATTATAATATTTATTACATAACATATTTATTATTGTTCATCGACTATTATTATTATGCAACAAAACTGTAGACGCGATCTATGAAATCATAATAACACTAAAATTACGGTTTCCAAAATTACATTGAAATGGGCTATCTATTTGTATTTAATCAATGTCAAAACTAATAAATATCATCTATACATTTCAGATAGTCTGGTAATTGTAGTATAATAGTCGTATAGAATAATTTAGATATTACTTAAGTATTTATTGTATTATTTGACATGGGCACGAGGTTAATATGGATATAATCAAACTTGACGTTTCCGTTAAGTTGTTAGTGTAAAAGTGTTTGTCGAACCAAAATATGTGTTTGTTTTAAAGGTAGCCTAAAATGTAACATTCGTTGTCACAATTCATTTTCCTGCTCTAATAAATAAAAAATGTTCACAATACGGTTAATAAATTACACAATGTTAAATTTGAGTGACCATTTCATGAAAAAGTGATCATTTTGTGAAATATTTTTCAATTTCATTTTCAGTGTAAAAAACGTGTTTCCATTTCACGAATTGGTCATCTTTTCATAAAGAAAGTGGTTACATCATGTTAATATTAAATCAAATCAAAATATAGCACTACTATAAAATTTTACTTAAAACGTTACATAATCATTTTTATAAATTTTAATTTTGTAGAAAAAAATGTATGTATTTAAATTTTAGGTAAGAAGTTTAGTGGATGCTGGTAAATTAGAACTAGAAAGTGGAGAAGTTTTGATTTTACGAAAAAATAGTCAGTATATGTTATCAAGATCGCAAGCTGAGCCACTAATTCGTCAGGGAATTTTAGAACAAGTCAGACATTAATCATATACACAACACATTGGAATTATATACATTTGTATTAATCACCATGGTTGTATATAATAAATATTAATTCAATTAATCTTGTAAATGTTATAATATTTCAGTAAAAATGTAAATTTTAAAATATAGCTAATTTATTTTGCTTAAAACCAATTATGTATATATTTTTTAAATTTGGTATCCATTATTAGAAATCAATCATATAATCAGTGGTTTTCCAAGGGTTTTATTATTATTAAAAATATGTCTATGTATGGTTGTTTATATGATTAGAAATAAATAATACAATTATTTTTCAGTAAAATAATATACTAATAGTTAATATGTATTCCGAAAACATGAAATGTATGTGAAGTATTTATACAGGTGGTTTTGGATCCGGAAGAGTAGCTATACTTCATTCCTAAATCATAATTTGTGCACTTAGGAAGGGCTCGAGAGGCTTACCTCCAAGTTTTATCCTTAATCTTCTCCAGATTTTAACTATACAATGGCCTCTTTGTGGGAAGTTATACCAAAAACTGATAATTAATAACACATATTTATTAAAAATGACATGTCTTTTATTTTATAATTATAGTAATATTTTGTTATAAGTGAACAAATTACAGTTACATACAAATTTTAGTATTTAATTTCAGCAAACCAATCTGTATGAAATATAACGTCCAGCAGTTTCAGAATTTCTTACGATTTTTACTACCTGTAAATAAAATATAAATTCACATGAATGATTATTTATAGTGATACACTAAATGTGTACTATTTACTTTTAATGATAGTATTTGAATTACTATAATGGATAATTGTAAATTGTAAGATCACAAACATTTATAACCCTCCTATAATTTTATTTTGTTTTTACACTATTGGAACATTACTTTTTATTAATTGGCTTATGTAAAATAATATTATTTAGGATATCAGACATCAATGAACTATTTGTTTTTATCTTATAACACAAGAGAAAAATTACATATGTGCATTCAGTAGAACCAAGTTTTTGTTGTTAACTTTAGTAATAGACATAGTGTTAATTGACTAATTATAAAAACTTATTATCTACCAATTATTTAAAATTTAGAAAACTAACGCAAGAACATAGACATTGTACTTGACTTTAAGTTTTACGATAGATCAATTCACTCAATACTAAAACCTATGTTTATATTGTTGGTTCAGCTGAACGCCATGTTGCACATGAATTAGAGAGAGAAAACAATTAGTGTACTGACATCCTCTTAAGGTGTAGGATATTAGGTATCAACATTTTTATGATTGTTGTATTTAATGACAAAGTTTGTTATTCATGGTGAAAAACAAGATCATCAGTAATTTATAAAATATATTAGATATTTGTTAGTATATTTTGTCAGTTACAAAATAAATGTATTAAAAATATAAATATAAACTATTAGCAAATTAAAATATGAATCTAAAAAAGTTTTTTTTTTTGAGATAATTAATAATTTTGAAAGCTAAGATAACTATCTTAAATATTTTGTTCAAAAAGGCCCACTTTTAAAAAATTATATTTAAATTGATTGGTTAAGTATTGTTACACTGTCTCTATTATCATACATTGTATTATACATATTATATTCAATCTTACTTGTCCTCTTTTCAAGCCAAAGTAACGGGAAACTGGATCGCCAACTTGAATTCTCATAAGCTGATTTTCCTTTAATTTGCTAATTTATTTCAGTTAAAGAAGATTACATACATRTAAATAAAATTGAAATACTAAAATGGTTTAGCAAAAATCAATACTTTAAAACTTCTCATCATAAACTACATATTAATAGATAAAAACTAGTATAATATGGCATATAACAGTAACAGTACGAGATTAGTGGAAACATGATACATTAATATTGCTATTGTAGTATCATGTTTATTTTTAAATTATAATGATTATAGACTAATGTAGAAATGAGGTACTATAACCCATCTTGAATTATTGTTAAAATTATAAAATATTTACATTTACATGTACAATTAGACTAATTTTACAAAGAAATAAAACATTTTTCTAATAATTGTTCAAGTTCAAAACTTTTAGCAGTAGTAGAACATAGTAATTGTGTAATGTATGTGGGCAGTATGGCAGCTAAACACTAAAATAAATATGTAGTTTCCATTAATAAAAAAATAGCAGCATGAAATTGATGATAACTGTAGTAACTCAATAATATACAATCAAAAGTAGGTATTCTGTCAATAAATGTGAGAACTCGGCCACTAATGGTTCTCTTTCTCGACTTTTCATGTATAAATGGAACTTATAATACTGGTAAATACAATAAATAAATATATAAATAAAATAAATACATTCAACATTTTCTTTTGTCGTAATAAGTGTATAATAGTTATTTATCCAAATGCTAAAGGAAATAAAATATTTGTAAGCTGATAATTAAAATACAATTAGTATTTATTATAAGGGAGTTGTGATGACTGACTTTATTTTTAAACTATATTGTAAGTTGGGAAACTAAAAAGATTGAGAATTGATAGTATAAGATTTTATGACACTTCTTTCTGCCTTACTCATAAAAATAAATTATGAATCAGCAAAGAGCAATAGGGCAAAATGGAAAATTCAGGCGATGGCATTAAGGCCGAAATATTTAAGATTATGCTAGTAATAAAAATGTAAAATATTTTAATGAATGTTACGTTTAACCTAGTATTTTCTACTATCTATTTTGATATTTTATTAAAAGTTAATCTACATACTTAATTCTTAAACAATATTGCAACTCGTTATACCTAGAGTCAAATACAAAAGTTGTATATTTCAAAAAAGGATACTATCTGCACAAAAGTTCTTGTTTCTCATCAGGTGTCAAAACAATGTGTTCTGGAACTAGTTCATGTTCAGTTATATTAATTAGAAGTTCAGATTCCAAAAACTGTTCCAATATGTATTTAGGAGCCATATCAACTAAAGACTTAAAACAAAAACAAAATATTTTTATCAGTTATGCTCAATGCACATTTGTTATGTTAAATAACTAAGTATTTTATTTTTTTCTAAAAAAAAATTTATTTAAATTATAAAACATTACTATCTGAAGGGTAATGTTTCTCATTATATATTCATAAGTACAACTCTTTTTTAAAATAA